AAATGCCTAGCCAATTCCTACATCCTATTCTTATCACACCATCCTCTGAAGAGGTTACCCAAATAATGGATAGGGAATCGGGATGCAGACCCACTCTGGCTTCTTCCATGCTAAACAGGGATGCAGGGTGGGGCAACTGGGGTACCCCTTCAATGGGTCTATCTAAAAGACTCCAAAATTGCATAACTCTTATCTGTAGGAAGAAAAGAAAGTCCTTGGCTGGTGAATAGGGGATGTGAAGGAGAAGTAAAGGCAAGAGTAGTTAGCATTACAAGTTCTAGACAGGGAACCAGAAAAAAGAACAGGGCAAATTTCAAATATTCTTATCAGAGTCCACTGGGATTTCTTGATGAGAGCTTCCAAAAGCATCCCTCTACTGGGTTCCTCCTCATTTTTTTTTGGGGGGGGGGTCTGCCAAGGCTGGACTCGAGAGTGATGGGCTCAGGATTTGTTTTCAAGCACTTTGATAGCTGTTGGAGTGGTTAGAATCACTGTCAGTTCTCTCAAAGGTAGCTTTTTATAAGTGAAAGAAAAATTCAAACAAGATTCTCTATGACCATCCCAGTTGGATGATATAACGCCTGCTCTACTATCTCAACAGCAAAACTACCCTTCCCTCACTGCATATGAAGCTCAAATATGCATCAAATTTGTCTCTTAAAGGGGTACCGAATGGTACAAGATGATTCAAGCATTCAGGATTCTTGTTGGGATACAAAACATTCATAAAAAGATCCACTGTAAGTCAATGAATCAATGTTATTTCAAACAGAATTATCTGTAAATGGAAATCAAACAAAAACATAGAAAGGGTGAGTGAGATGGCTCAGTGAGTAAAAGCACTTGCCTCACAAGCCTGACAACCTGAGTTCTATCCCTGGATCTGATGGTTGAGGGAAAGAACTGACTCCAGAAAGTTGCCATATGAATTCCACATGCAGGCTGTGCATATGTGCTCACAAAATAATAATACACTGTCATTGTACACATGAACTCACAGTGGCCACGACTACATGCACAAAACCTGCACAATATCAAGCCATCCAAAATCCCAGCATGGATGGAGGGGCTTGTAAAATCCCACTCCTGGATGAGGAGCTCCTGGTAATTGGTGACTGCTGAGGGAGGGAGAGTAAGTTTTCTTCAGAGATGTGGCCCCTGAAAGGCTGTCCAGGCTTCTGCAGATGATCCTACATCCAGGCATATAAAGGCAGCATTAAGTGGACACAGTGGGTTTAAAATAGAGCACACACGCTGGAGAGATGGCTCAGCGGTTGAGTACTGGCTGTTCTTGCTGAAGACCTAGATTTGAATCCTAGCACCCACATGGTGGCTAACAACAGTCAATAACTCTACAGAGAATCTGATGCCCTCTTCTCTCCTCTGTAGGCACTGTACAACATGGGTGCACTTACACACATGCAGGCATTAACACTCATACACATAAAACAAAAAAGTTTCAAAATCTTAAATTTGTAATTACTCTGCTCCAAGCTTTTGTCCATGCTATTAATCATTTATTCTTTGGGGGCTGGGACTGGAGAACTCAGGATCAACTCAGGGGTTCAAATAGGAGAGCCAAATAGTCTACCACTGAACCATACCCCAGCCTAGTAATTTGTTTTCATAAACAGTCTTAAATTTAAAAAAAAAAAATTCATATACCTAAATGTTTAATTTCCTTATAATCCCCTTTTCTTCTTCTTCTTTTTTTTTTTTTTTTTGAGATGGGGTCTTGTTATGTAGCCCAGGCTAGTCTTGAATCCACAGAAATCCTCCCAATTCACTGATTCAGCCTCATGAGTGTGGGGATTTACAGGCATGTGCCATATCTGGCTCTGCAATGCTGTTTAAATTAAGAAATTCTTTCCCCCTGAGTTAATATGCAATGTTTCAAAAAACATATTTTAAGATACTTAATTCAAAGGAAATATTTTGAGGTAAAAATGTAAATTTATTTATTTTCCAAACAATTATCAATTTTCTAAGATGATCAGTTAAAGGTTTACCTCAATGATTTGTGATACATTGATTAAATCTTACATATAATGGGGCCTAAATAAATGTAATCCTAGTTTTAATGATTTATTCTTACATGAATGTCAGATTAATTTTTCTTAATATCCTTTATGATTTAAAATTCAACTTTGCTCTACTTACCTATTACTAACTGTTTTTTTTTTGTATTTTGAGACAGGGTTTTACTGCTGGCCTAGAACTTACTATCTTCTGCCTATACCTCCTGAATGCTGGAATTACAGGCTCACCTATATCTTTTTCCCCCCAAACCTACCCATTCTACCAGATTTTTATTCAACTACATGATCCTATATATAGTTTGTGCATTTTGGGCGAAGGGTTGTTTTTAGTTATTTTCATTTTATTTATTAGGGTTTTTTTTCAAAAATATTTTATTTATTATTTTATGTGTACGAGTGTACTGCCTGCAAGAGTGCACCCATGTCGTGTAATGCTGCAGAGGTCAGAAGAGGGCTTCTGATTCCCCTGGAACTGGAATTGAGAACGGTTCATAGCCGCCATATGGGTGTTGGGAATAGAACCCGGGTCCTCTGCAAGAGCAGTCAGTGCTCTTAATTGCTGAGCCATCTCTCCAGCCCCCGTCCCCCCCTTTGTTTAAGACAGTGTCTCACTGTAGCCACAGCTGGCTTGGAACTTACTTATGTAGACCAGGCTGGCTTCCACATCTGGCTGAGGGGTTGCTGTTTTTGTTGTTTTGAAGATTTTATTTTTAATTATGTGTGTATGTGTGTGTGCAGGTAACTCTTGGAGGACAGAAGCAACAAATTACAGGTAGTTGTGAGCTGCCTAATACGGCTGCTGGAAATTGAACTCGGAGTCTCTAGAAGAGCAACAAGTACTCTTAACCACTGAACCATCTCTCTAGCCTAGGTTGTTTTTTTTGAAAACAGGGTCTCGCATAGCTTAAGGTGGCCTCAAATTTGTTACATAGTCAAGGATGACCCTGAACTCCTGATTCTTCTGCCTTTACTTCCCAAGTGTTGTGATTACAAGTATGATCCATCATATCTGGCTAAACTAGTAATATGTAAAGACTACACTTATAAAAACAAAGCAATGTTTTCAATATTACAGTTTCTTGGGGCTGGTGAGATGGCTCAGCAGTTAAGAGCACTGACTGCTCTTGCAGAGGACCCAGGTTCAATTCCCTGCACCCACATGGTGGCTATGAACTGTCCTTAACTCCAGTTCCAGGGGAATCCGAAGCCTTCTTCTGACCTCTGCAGCACTGCACAACATGGGTACACTTACATACATGCGGGCAATACATTCATACACATAAAATAAAAATAATAAAGTATATTTTTTTTAAATTATAGTGTCCCAATTTTTTTTCACAGTTCATATTTTTTTGTCAACATTTCTCCTACATTTCATGCATTTCTTCTTATTTTACCAAGTATTCTTATTTCTTTGGCTCTCAGGCATGACCTTCTGTCACCAGGTTTTCCCATTTCCAAGCGCTAACATAGTGTCACTGCATCAACTTGAATCATCTTAGTTGAGCTGTTGGAAAACGCAAGCTTCAACTTTACAATTTAAATGAAAACACAGAAGATTTCACATTCAATAGAAAGATAAGGGGATAAGGTTATTCTCATTAAGTTTCCATAAATTTGATTTCTTTAGGTTTAACAAAAAAAAACCCTGAGACCCCTCACCAGGAAAATACTTTTTTTTTAACTTTAAAATAAAAATTTATTTATTATTTTTATTTTGTGTGTATGTATGTATTGTCTGCACATAGATAAGTGCACCCATGTCGTGCAATGCCGTGGAGGTCAGAAGAGACTGTTGGATCCCCTGGGACTGGAGTTACATACAGTTGTTAGCTGCCATGTGGGTGCTAGGATTCGAACCCGGGTCTTCTCCAAGAACAACCAGTGTTCTTAACCGCTGAGCCATCTCTCCAGCCCCAGAAAATAAATACTTTTATACAAAAATGACAGGGCATGATTTTACTTCACTGCTTTGCTGGGGATATATAGCTCAGTGACAGAACTCCTGGCTAGATGAGGCCAGGGGTTTCATTCTCAACAGCAAAGGGAAAAGTTCATTAAGGAATATGAACATTTGCTTTTAATTTAAACTACATCCTTGGGATGACACTAAGATTAGTTTAGAAATGATGCTTGCAACTCTGAATTATAAAACTACTCATTGTGCTCCAAATTAGAAGAGAAATTTAAAATTATCAAGAGTACTTTCTTCATAAAGCTAAAGTGAGAAACTTGCCATTCTCAAGAAGTTTTATCTATAAAGAGCACCTGTAGCTTACTGCAATTGCCTCCAGTTATGAAAAGGAACAGAACTGAGTGCACAGGTCCCAGAATCCACTGCCTATGACAGGATTCTAACAGTCAGCTCTATCTTAACTGAAAGATGATCATGGACTTCAAACTGTCACAGTTGTTCAAGCCTGTAATCTCAGCACTTGGAAGGCAATGGAATGAGGATCACTGCAAGTTCAAGTCCAGCCTGGTCTATATACTTAGTTTCAGGCCACCTAGGGGCAAGTCCCTAGACAGCAAAACCCTGTCTCAACCCACAAAACTAGAAAAAAAATTTTTTTTACTAAACTGATAATGTCAAAATATTAAAGTAATGCTAAATTTTACTTATATACTATATATAATTTTGTTTGCCTCACTAAAAATGTAGTCTAATATCCTTACCTTCTAATATTTTACAGAATGTAGCATTACAAAAATGTTATTACAGTCATGTGTGGTGGTGCATACCTTTAATTCCAGTAATTAGGGGGCAGAGGCAGGTGGGTCACTGTGAGATCAAGGCCAGCCTAGTCTACTTAGGAAGTTTCAGGCCAATTGGGGCTAAATAAATAACAAATAAAATGTTATCTCAATTACATCTTCCCTCTATTTTCCCAAGTCTTATAAACAGATAATCTTTCATATAAAAACATTAAAAATTTGTCATTGCAAATTAAAACTGCTTACCATGATACCACCATTTTGTTTTCTTTGGATTCTTGTTACATGTTCGCACATAAAAAGAATTATCTGGTGGTCGTCTCTGGAACAAAGAGTTTAAATAGGTAAGTTCTGGAAGAGAATAACTAAAGGGGAGATACACTTAGCAAAACTATTATAAAATACACCAAAAGCAATAGAAACACTGACAGCATGGCCCTAAGAATGGAAACTACAGTCTGGGTCTTACAAACTTCTGATACCTCCATATTTTAAGAAGGGAGTATGTGTTAGAGGTGAGGCTCCAGGGGGATCACTGGAGGAGGAAGTATAAATCAAAAGGGAGACAATAAGATATCTGAAGCCACAATTCTTTATGCTAATCTCTCCGCTACAAGTAATTTAATAATTACTTTTATAAACTAATTAAAACATTGAGGGTGTCAATTTTTTTATATTTAATTTTACTTATTTTATTTTATGTGTATGCCTGTATTGCCTGCATGTAAGTGCACCTTTCTTGTACAATCCCCAAGAAGGACAGGAGAAAGTGTCAGATCCCCTGGAACTGGAGTTAGGACAGTTGTTAGCTGCCATGTGGGTGCTGGGATTTGAACCCAGGTCTTTTGCAAGAACAGCCAGTGCTCTTAATCACTGAGCCATCTCTCCAGTCCCCTCCAGGGTGTCGATTTATAGGAGATTTTTCCTGAAAACTGCTGGGTATTATTAGCCAGACAAAAGTACACAACTTTCTATGAAGACCTGACATGTCAAGTTTACACTAATGGTGCTGAGGAAGGTTAGGATAAAGTTATCTTCACCTGTTCTGACCAACTTTTACAACTACTCTGACAACTTCATTTTTTTCCCTATTAAATATTTTTTGCAATGTTTAGACTTAATTAACTGTTAAGCTAATGAAGATGAAAGATTAAGAGAATTCCTTCTTCTAATAAGGCTAATCAAGGAACATCACTGAAGGAAGGTCCAGTGGGAAACAGCGGTGAAGGGACAACACAGACCACAGGGTAGAACAGTCCACTTGGTCTTCTAAAGCTTATCACAGGTGTCAGCAAAGTCTCTAAATGCCCTTATGAATAATATTAACAGTAATTTCAATCAACATAAAAAGATTATCAGGATAGTTATACAACTATTCCAAGATCACCCTGTGAATACAATTTGAGAAAATTCCTTTAAACATTAAAATTACAAAATTAAATGACTTGTTTCCGCTTCATCGTTGAAACCTAGCACTTGGCAGGGTAAAAAACAGGAAGCACCTAATCAAAGTTTAATTTTATTGTACTTTACAACAACCCTGACTTCTAGATTATCATGTTGGTTAAAGATATCATACAATAATTCTATTAGATACAGTTTAACAATAATTTAAATGAAATGATTAGCCTTACACTCAAGTATGAAAAAAAAAAAACAACCCACTAACAGTAGACAACTAGAAGGTGGGGGGAATGATGAGGTTAGAAAAGAATAAAAGGCACAGAAAATATGATCATTCTCTAGTCTTTGATAGTAAATCATGGCATCCAAATGTGAACAAAAGTTAATGATCATAAGGCACATGCAAGAGTAATGGGCAGACACCACCAGTGATCATCCTTAATTGCATGTAAATCCTGTAGTTATCATCTCACTGTCAGGAATAACAGGAACATAGGAACCCATATACAAGTATGAACTACTCTGCCTTACATATAAAAGCTTAAAATTTGTGTGTGTGTGTGTGCATGCATGCGCGCACAGGCGCAGGCATACTTATGCCATAGCATGAGTGGTAGGTAGTCAGTCTGGAATCTATTCTCTCCTTCAACAGTGTGTTCTGGGGATCAAACTGAGGTGATCAGGCTTACACAGCAAGAGTGTTTACCTGTGGAACCATCTCACTAGCACCCAGGAAACCCCTTATAGACTAACATTTCATGAAACTCACTTGGTAAAACAGTGGCTTAGGGTGTTCCAGACTCTAAACCTACTGTTTAAAAATGAACTATTGCAAAGATTCTCTAAATTAATAAAATCGGCAGTGAGTTTAATTTGGAGAACAAAGAAGCAATCTGCTAACCACACATGTGAACCCCCAGGGCTCCCTATTTCAAAGGTATTCAAATTTTAATTCGTGTTGTTTTTCATCTGTCATTTTTTACACTTCCACTAGAGATTAAATCTATAACCAAGTAAAGGAGAATAGGATTCTACTGGCAAATGGTTTACCTCCTTCAACCTCACCAGTGGGACAGGCAAGCTCTGGATTCTGGGAAATCCTAAGAAGGCTGCGTGTATGGGAGCTGGCAAAGGGGGGCAGAGTTAGAATATTTGTTTCTGGCTTTCCGCTGTGAATTTTTTTAAAAAAATGATGTATACTTTTACCCTGTGCATGTTCATGGAAATAAAACAAATTATTTAAGAACACGTGCACAAATTTCGTGCTTAAAAATGGCAAAACATAGGCAATAGCCTACACTGCTACTGTGTTGTATACTCAATAAACTATATTTCAAAAAATATGTATCTAAAACATCAAGTTTGACTTCTAGCTCTATTTGGAATGAAAGGTATCAAAAGAACTTTCCATATTTATTACTAAATATGATATTCCCTGTACTTTAAAAACAAAAAGCATGATTCCGCCTTCAAATACAAATAATTATATATTTAAACTATTAACCTACCTAAACTGAAAAAAGATATTACCTGGAATAATTCTGAAAAGTCCTACCTTTTCTTTGCAGCTGGAAAGCATGCTAATAATGCTAAGACAAACTGACTGGACTGAGAGCGCTGGGGACCAGTCTTCTGTTAGAATGGATAAACAGATATGACCATTGCTATAAACATGAGGATGAACAGGGATATTTTCACCAGTAAACATGACCTAAGAAAAAATAAAATTCCATTAACACTCAAATATTCTCTACTATCAAAAACTAAAATATTCCCCACATGTAACAAGTATTGATTTTTAAAAGACAAAATAAACCAAACCAAAATCAATTTCAGAAACCACACATTTATTATCAATTACAGTAATAGTTTCACTATATATGAAAGACCGTGTAGTAGGAAAACTGTAGATTTTGTATTTCATCTGTTTTTCATAAATTCTATTAACACTCAAATATTCTCCACTATCAAAAACTAAAATAATTCCCCACCATGTAACAAGTACTGATTTTTAAAAGACAAAATAAAACAAACTAAAAGATAAACACTAGTGTTTTTCTTACTAGTGAATGGCAAACGGCATTCATAAGAATGGATTTTCACATTCTATTAATTGCTCTTTGTGTAAAAATAAAATACGCTAAAATTTCAAAAATATTATATTTTGAAAATATAAAAAAAAAGGCCCACATCAAGATTTTTTTATAGGCTGAGTCTTAATTAGCTGCTTTCTGTTTTCCTTTTATTCATATAATGTCGCTTTCCCTTTATCTTGCCTCAGCACTGTTGTGAACAGCAATATATCATTTCCTTTCTCTGCCCTAATAATTCTAAGAATATCCTAACATTTTTATTTCTTAAAATTTTTCTACCCAAGCATCCAAACAGGAAAGAGACTAAATCCATACATCCTGAGATAGCACTGAGCACACTCCAGGAGAGTTCAGAGAAAGTACAAGCCTTAGATTTGAGATGTCTACGTGTTATTTTTCATTCTGCAATGCCAGGCATGAACTCTCCCTGCACATGCAGACGAGTGCTCTGCCGCGGAGCTACAGCTCCAGAGAAATTACTCGCTTTTATACAAAATTCAAGTAAAATTAACTCACCAATCTTCAAGTAATTTTCATATGGTAGTGCCGTATTTTATCCTGTACTTTAGCAGTAATTCCCAGTGATCTTACCATTAAAAAAAAAAAATCAAAACAAAAACAAAAGCAAAAACAAAAAACAAGCATTCCTTGAATGAAGATCTGGTTAAATTTCACAATTAAGCTGGATGTGGTGTTATACCACTCCAGTGCCAGCTACTGGAAAGGCTGAGGTGATAGGTCCCCCTTGAGCCTAGAGGTTCAAGGCCAGTCAGCAAACAGCAAGACCTTGTCTCAAACAACATAGTAACCACCACCACTAACCTAAATTCAAGGGTGCTGATTTTCACATTCTGATTCAGTACCAAATGGGATCTGCATAAAGCTTCTTGCCTATCAATCAGCAGTTCTCAAACTAGATTTAGTGCATCTCTCAACACTTGCCAGAGTGAAGTAACAAGGCAAAATCCTACTTTAAATTGCCACAGAAACTGTTAAAAAATATGTTGCTCTGGGCATATCTGGGGGTTTTCTCCTCATACAAAGATGTCAGTCAATGACATCAGTATGGCCCGATTAAGGTATGCCAAAATTTAATACAAAATATATAATAAGAAATCAAAATAAGCCGGGCATGACGGCAAGAGTCTTTAATCCCAGCCCTTGGAAGGCAGAGGCAGGTGGATCTCTGCAAGATGGAGGCCACCCTGGTTCACACTGTGACTTCCAGGTGGGCTGTGACTAGAGAGATCCTATCAAAAAACAACTAACAAAAAGACCCCCCCCCGAAAAAAATCAAAATAAGTCAAGGCTCTGTAGTTGTATTAAAGTGAAATTTCTAGCCACAAATCTGACTTTATCAGATATTTACATTGTAAAAATATTTGCGTTTCATTTTATTTTTCAATATTTTATTTATTATTTTTATTTTATGTGTATGTGTGTATTGCCTGCATGTAGGTAAGTGCACCTGTGTTGTGCAACGCCCGTGGAGAACAGATCGTCAGATCCCCTAGAACTGGAGTTAACGGAGAGTTGTTAGCTGCCATGTGGGTGCTGGGATTTGAACCTGGGTCTTCTGCAAGAACACTCAGTGTTCTTAACCACTGAGCCATCTCTCCAAATATTTGCATTTTAACAAACCAATCTTTCATATAATCTGGCCTTTGCTAACATCTTAAATATGCTAACAATCAGGACTCGTTCTCTTGGCTATACTTGCACAAAAAACTAAGTATCTTTCAAAAGGATGACTTTCAATACTGAATTTTTTTTAAGCTTTAAATTCTGGCCACCCACCTCCATTCTCACTAAAAAAAAAAAGAGAAGAAAAGCTAAAATAAAGTGAAGCGTAAGAGCTGTTTCATAAGAAGAATTACTTGTCCTACCTGATTGCAGAGATTCTTTGAAGGACTTTACCTTTCAGTGGCTATGTTCTAAAAATGCCATTTACCTTAATTATACACCAGTGCTAGTGCCCTAAAAACCTGCTGTTTTGAGCAGTCTTGAATTCCACACTTCTGAGTGTCTGCAACTGTTTTTAGTGAAATTTTTAAAGTATGAACTACACTTTATTACAACATATCTATTTGTACAATGTGTAAGAGAGGTCTAGAACAGTTTACATTAAATGTTAGAGAATACAGGTTTTAGATTATTCATTTTGCCAAAAAAAAGTCCTCTGACCAGGAGGGTATTTTAACTGAGACTACAGCCAATGCCTGGATAATTTACTCCCTGGCCACACTTATTTTTAAAGGGTATTTTCCCATAAACAAGGTCTCTTTATCAAGAAGTCAAGCACAGTAGCGTTCTGAAAGTACCAAAAACAAAGAACTGCCAAGTTATCTTCTTTGGCAAAAATAAGTCAGGACTATCAGCAATCACCAAAAAAAAACAAAAACAAACAAACAAAAAAAAAACCAGCCAGACAGATACAGAAGTTATAATGACATACTTTGACTAGAGAATCACAGAGCAAAAAAGAAAGCAGCATTCTCCTTGGAGAGGAGAATTTGTTATAATGTCTGTGAACCAATAACTATACATGAACCAAAAGGAAATCCAGGCAGGAGAAAGAAAAGTGGTTAAGTGGCGAGAAGATATTCTTGACAAAAGCAGCAGACATTCTAGAAGCAGAATAGAGCCAAAGAGCAAGACAGAAATAGTTCTAAAAATGAGAGGCTGAAATTAAAAAAAAAAAAAATCAAATCTCTTGTTAGGTGCAGTGGTTCACATCTGTAATTCCAGCATGCAGGAGGCTAGGGCAGGGTAGGATCTTGGGTTGAAGGCCAACTAGTACCCCAAAGAGGGTTCCAGGTTAGCATGGGCTACAAAGTGACACCCTATCTCAAGAAACAAAAACAAAGTAAAACAAAATTAAATCAGATCTCAATTATACTTAAATAAAAAAGGGAATGTTTTTAACAAGCTCCATGCAAGGCAAATGTAGCCAGTGAGAAACTTAGAGCAACCAAAAACAAGAGAATTGACTATTTGTACACATTATAGTAACCCCTAGGGCCTAACAGTTCTAGCTGCTTGTCTGTGCATAGAAAGGTTGAGTTTACATGCCAGAGATGAATTCCTGAAATAAAAGGAAACATTTTTTTCAACAGTGCGTTCATATAAAAGGCATTACCAGCCTTCTCAGTTTCCACAGACAAGTCTCAATGTAAACTTTGCCACTCTGGTTCTCTGAACATTATGGGAAGGGTAATCAAGGTTGAATTTTTTAAGCACATAACTGTTTTCTACCTTTAATACTCAGTATAAGACAAAGGAGAAAAATGGACATTTCTGTTATTTTAATTCAGCCTACTGGGTTCTGAAAACTCAAGACATTTTTTAGAGTTGAAAAACAAAACAAAAACAAAAACAAAAACATTAGGGGGTAGAACTATATAGTTAACAAAACTATCTAACACTGATATAACAAGACCATTGAATATAGTTGATTTGAAACTACAATTCATTTGACCTTTGCTAACATACTCAGATCCAACCTAGATATACAATTATGTTGACAGGGGATGGGGGGACACACATGGGGTAAGGGCTGAAAAGATGGCTCAGTGGTCAAGTATGCTTCCAGACTCCCTTCATAGTTAACAAAACTATCTAACACTGATATAACAAGACCATTGAATATAGTTGATTTGAAACTACAATTCATTTGACCTTTGCTAACATACTCAGATCCAACCTAGAAATACAATTATGTTGACAGGGGATGGGGGGACACACATGGGGTAAGGGCTGAAAAGATGGCTCAGTGGTCAAGTATGCTTCCAGACTCCCTTCAGTCAGCTCAAAACCACCTGTAATTCCAGCTGCTATGGGATCTGATGCCTCTGGCTTCTGCGGCACCTACACTCATCTGCAGACACAAACATGCAGACATAATTAAAAATAAATTGAAAAAAGAAAAGAAAATGGGGCTGGAAAGATGGTAGCAGTTAAGAGCAGTAGCTGTTCTTGCAGAGGACCTGGGTTCAAATCCCAGCACCCACATGACAGCTAACAACAATCTGTAACTTCAGTTCCAGGGGAATCTGATGCCCTCTTCTGCCCTCCCAGGGCATCATTGCAAGACACAGGTGCACTTACACACATGCAGGCAATACACTCATAAAAATAAATTTTTTAAAAAAGTACTGGCTCATTAAATTTTTTTTAAGTTAACAGGTGGGGACTGGAGAGATGGCTCAGAGGTTAAGAGCACTGACTGTTCTTGCAGAAGACCTGGGTTCAATTCCCAGAACCCACATGGCGGCTATGAACCATCCTTGACTTCAGTTCTGGGGGAATCTGACGGCCTTCTTCTGACCTCCGCAGCACTGCACAACACGGGTGCACTCACATACATGCAAGCAATACGCTCATACACATAAAATAAAATTTTTAAAAACTTAATAAACACATTCCTCATTGCATATCCCAATGGAGGAAAATAGAACTTTGATGAGGTAGCTATGTCACTAAACACAGGTGCAATTTTACAAAAGATCTTGAAGTTCAAGACTGCATGAGAAGCCATCC